CTAGCTATAGGTCCATGTAATAATTTTTGTAACTCATTTTCATTAATGTAATACCAAATTGTTCAATAAAGACCGAGACCAGGCCTCACTCTTAAAAAAAAAAAAAATAAAAATAAAAAAAATAAAGTGTTATTACAAAATAACTTACCTTCATCTCATTAACAATACTTATACTCACCTTCATCTCATCAACAATATTCATTCTTACCTTCATCTCATTAACAACATCTACCTTTAATTCATTAACAACAATACTTATCTTTATTTCATTAACAATGCTCACACTCACCTTCATCTTATTACAACACTCACACTTACCTTTATTTCATCAACAATATTCACACTTACTTTCATCTCATTGACAATGCTCACACTTACCTTTATCTTATTGATAACACTCATGCTTACCTTCATCTTATCAACAATATTCACACTTATCTTCATCTTATCAACATGTTTATGCTCATTTTCATCTTATCGACAACACTTGCAATCACTTTTATCTCAATAACAATGCCTATATTCAATCTATCAACAACAATGCTCATCTTCTATTCATCAAAAACACTCATCTTCAATTGAATCAATTGAATCTAATAACTATATTAAGCAATATAAATGAATTAATATTGAAAAACAAGCTTCAAAAGATTATTTTTTTAAACAATTTAATAAACACTCATATTTTTCATTTGCTAATAATGAATATCTTAATTTTGTGATTTCTAAAAAACTATTATATTCTCTTTTAAATATGCCAAATATAAATTATATTAATTCTTATTTGTCTAGTAAATCAAAAAATGGTCTATTTTTTCAAGATGAAACTCAACTCCTTCAATAGTTAAAAATATGTAAGGATTTAGCATTGCAGACATTAAATTTAAATAATAATAATATATTATCTAACAAGGTTAGTTATAATTATTTACTTTATTACTTTATATAATATTAAATTATAGTTCTACCTAATCTTGAAATCTGATTTATAGTTTAGAAATCTGCAATATAAGTATTAGAAGCATAAAGCTTGCTTTTGCAGACATGCTTTTATAAAGAATATGCTTCTTATAGATATATATAGCATATATTATCATAATTAGCTTTAGTAGACTTTAATTATAATTGTTAATTTGATAATTGACCAATTATATAATAATACTATATCACATAATAGAGTATGTTTTTTGGTTAAAAAGCTCAACCTAATGCTTTAACTCTTGCTATAAACTTAGTGCATATTCAAAATATACAAGAATTTGTTTATAATACAAATTTAGCACAACAGTTATTTAATTACATTGTAGATTAAAATATTGCTTTGCTTTTTATAAGTTTTATCTTAAAGAAATTTGTGTATTATTGTTATTTACTATTTGTTTATTTTTATATTGATTTTTTTTATTATATAGATAGTTATTTATACAAATGTAATTTTTTATAAAATATAATTAATAAATGCTTTAAGTGTAACATTGTAATAGTTATAATTTATTTAAGAATTTATTTAAATTGTATATAATATTGAATCAATATTGCTAACTTTATTTAAATTCTAGTTATGATTTTCAAAAATTCAGATTGCAAAAACAATTATAATATG